CCAACTCGAGAGGTTTAGTTGCTCGTTTCCATGATGGTTTAAAAGCTTCAGAAGAAAGTTTGCCTTGTGTGCAACCTTTGCAAGAGGTAGTCTCCCCCTGTATTGTAATATCTGGTTTAAGACCTAATCTGCGAATATGTCTGAGAACTGCTTGTGCAGGGTGACACATGTGATTATGCCAAAGAGACTCTTGTGTTTCCTTGACCAAAGGGCAAAGGACCCCAAAAGCAGTGGTAGGTGGAAGCGGTACGCCCACAAACCAATGTAGAGGTGAAGTCAGTGAAGCTACTTTTGCTTCAAGGACAATCCAGCCATTTGGTGCTCTGATAGTCTCGCCAGTAAGTGTCGCTGCGCTCCTATACCCGTTATTGAGGAGCGCATTTCATGAACATAGTCACTTTGAAAACAAAGGACTGTAAACAACATTATGTAGTGGCAGGTTACTGCCATTTTCCAGGCGAATAACCACTGTTCCTTGACTGAGAAGTTGAACCTTTTTAGTGCCTGTGGTAGAGGCCAAAGGTGGATTTTTAAATTCTCGATAGGTTAGGAAATCAGTTTTAAATGGAGTCACATGATGTGAGGCTCCAGAATCCAACATCCATAAAGACTCACCCTTTGGTAGGTTCTTTTTTAGATTCACATATGACATAGGCACACCCAAGGGGTACAAGTCATAAGAATCGAAGGCATGACCATCAAATTGCATGGGTAAATACCCAGAGGCAGATTCGTTGGGATCATACTCGATGTCTGGATTATGCTTTATACGAAACATTTTACAAACAGGTTTATCTGGCACAGATTCGTGAAATTGTGACAAGGACATAGGGCGATTCTTCTTTTTAGAAGAATTTTTAATTAATACGGATTTTCAGAGAGATCCTCCGTCTCTACTATTCTGTCCTCGAAGTCGAGGGGAAGAGAGATTAAAAGTCCGTTGTTGTGTCTCAGATGCATTGCCATTGTCCTCAACATTCCAATTCTCCACCAAGTTCTCGCCAGCCAAAATGGGAGTTCCCACTCGTACTGAGGGTTTGAGGGAACCACTCGTACATGTCCCGTTCTGCTCAGCAGGGGGAAGGGAAATCTTCCTCAGATGAGAGTCCGAGTACTCCCATTGCTCCGGTTCCCAAAGGGAAACCGCCAGCAGGTTGCAAGTTGTGGCTGTTCGGCGACATATCGAACATTGGCAGGAATTAGAGCCGGGAATGTTAACACGAATCTTAACTGACTCAACTTGATCTGGTTGGAAATTTTGAATTTCCTCCAGATACCAAGGAGCAAGATTTCCGGTTGTGACATCAACTGGATAATTTGGGGAGTCCCCCACAGTTTCCATCGCCATAGTTAAATCTTGGTGAGTTAGATCAGGATCATACATCTCGGTGTCAGTAATGACATGTTGCCCGAGATATGTATTAAGATCGCTAGAATAGACTTGTTCAACCGGAGTTTGATCTGGGAGAGAATATTCTGGGGATGGTTCACGGTGTGGAATTTCGAGAGCATCTAGCTCCAAATCGCAATTAAAATTTTCAGCAGCATTCTCGAAGTTTTGTTGATCTGGGTAAACATCCCAAGATCTAGAATTCGGATCATAGGAACCTTCTGGAAGTTCCTCAATATAGGCAGCGTCAATTGCTTCCACGCCTTCTACTTCGAGATTGTGAGCTTGGGCTTTGCCCTTGCCTCGGCGTCTATTCTGGCCTCGGCTACGAGAACCAGAACCTTGCTGCTGTTGTTGTGGAACATAGGGAGTGTAACCTCCACATCCATGTCCACAACCTCCGCGACCTCTTCCACGACCTCCATGGTAACTGCAAAAGGATCCTGATCCAGATCCAGATTGATGATCGGAAGTATTATGACCGCCTCTGCAAATTTGACAGAGTGGCAGTTTATTCATGCGTGCCAGAAGAGAATTTGATTCTTGTTTGATCTGGGTAGATGAAGACCCAGCTTTATCCTGTTGTGGAAGCATAGTTTTGCCCAATTTGTGGGCCCAGACTTCTTTCATGTGAGGTATTACAGTATCAGGAGAGAGTTGATCGGCAGCAATAGATGATAGGATATTGACAGGTGCTTGTTCCCAAGCCTGCATCATTGAATGGACTAAAATTAGCACTTTCATTTTGTCATTTAAGGCAATGCCTTGAGCGCTGATGGCCGCGATGAGCATAGTTATTTCCGTGATTTTGGCCATTATGTCATCCTTCAGTTTAATTTGAATGCGGATAAGTCTTTGAAATTCCATGAAGGTTGTCATGGCCAAAGGAGTTCCGTATGTGTTTAACAACACTTGCCATTTCAAATGAGCAGTAGCTTGCCCATCAATAGACATTGTGATCATCGGATCGCAGTAAAGCATAAGAATGCCTTGGGCACGTGTGCCAGAGGTGACCCAGGCAGCAATGTCTGTGGCAGGTTGTCCAGCCTGCAGGACGTGCAACAGTGCCGTCAACGATTCCCATAATACCAAGAGTTTGCATATAAGCCTTCATAAGAACTGACCAAGAGGCATAATTCAAGCCGTTAAGCTTGGGGATCTGCTTGGAAAGACCTTCAGACATCTAGTGTCAAAAGTCCATAAGCAGATGTTCATATAAGAACGAGTGAGTCAGATGAGTTTGAATGGATGGAGGGATTAATTGATAATGATTCTGATTCTTTTTGGGTCTGCGAGCGGATGCTCTAGCAGCTTGAGATGGTTGGCGCCGATGGGAACATTGATTCTTGAAATAAGGACGAGGATTTCTTCGCTTCTCCATTTTTGTTTCTGGTGCCTTGGTACCTTTCTCAGCGAATCTCCAAGATGAGATGCAAGAATTGTTGCACTCTAGACTTAAAAAGTCTAGCAGAGGGAAATAGTGGTAGCTCATAAAGCTCCAGTTGCAGTCATGCAACGAAATCCCATCCGAGCGAAAACCCAAATAGGTTTCGGCGCAAGAATATGGTACATTGATGGCAGGAGAATAGCGAAAATGTTTGTCCTTAACTAATACTTTGAGACAATTGTATGACTTGTACAAATTACAAGTATTAGTTTCCCAGTGGTTTCAGCCGCCTGATACATACGGTGCGTCCAGCGAGTTTGGAAGAGGATAACTTTTGACGTATGGCTCGAGCTTCACGAGCTCGGCTAAGAGCCGTGGTGCGTATTCCTCGAGGTCGGGGAGCTGCGAGATAGTCAAAAGTAGTGTCGTCCATGACACGTTCGAGATCGTGTAGAACCTCTTCTGTTCCAGGCCAGTAAGCGAACTCTGCGTTAATGGGGTCGAGACCCCATGAAAGATGCCAGTTAGCAGAGTTATATCGCAAGGTAACTCCCACATCTGCCTCATCCCTATACTGTCATATAGACCTAAAGAGGTCACTATCAAACCTGTCTCCTCTGCGTCTGCGTTCTCTAAACCACCCTGGGATACAGGCAACGTTGGTCGATCCGTCAACCCAAGTTCCTCTGAAATGGAACTCAAGATGCTGGTTCCAAAGGCGGAGAGGAGGGATGATGCTGTTGAAGCAGGGATCGTAAAGTGGGTGGATGTTGTAGTAGATGTAACAAAATGTATCATGGGTGACTGAGAAGGCAGGAACAGTGTCGAGGGAAGGATCTTCATAATAGGCACTGGGAAGATCACAACCGTTAAAGTTAGCGATGGCGTGAGGAGTTGACGTATGGGATAATTTAGGGAAGAAGTCAGTTAGATAACCGTGAAAGGCTAGATGGAGACCCGGATAGAAGAAGGGCAATTCAAAACCAGGAAAGTGGGGCATTTGTTGCCACGCTGTTTCCACAGTGTCAATTGGGACGAGATAAGTCGCAGGATTTGGCTTCTTGAAGAAAGCCACTGACGACAGAACCGCTTCTCTCCAACTTGCACAGTCGCATACGTATAACATCTCAGTATACTCTATAATCTCTTTTACCACATACTTCTGCCACTTTATTTCATACATTCCATCCCGCTGCTCAGCGATAGCAAGCTCGAGTTTCTTTGCAATGATGAGAGACATTCTTTTGAACTTATTAGTTCCCGTAATTCTTTTAGAATAACCACAAACGAGTTAGAGTAAATCGAACTCTGCATTATCATCATCGACGACAGCGAGAATGAGCTCAGGATTGAGTAACTCGTTAAGCGCAAAAACTTCCTCAGAAAGAGGAGTCAATGCACGACATGGAGAAGGCAGATTACGTGCTTCAGCCTCACCATACGGTGGTACGGGATCTAAGTCAGCGTTGAAGTCGATATCAGGAAGATGGAAGTGAAGATAGTGTGGGGGCGGAGTCAGAGGACGAAGAATGAGTCGCTGTAAAAGCGCTCTGCGAAGGATCTGCTCTTGAAGCAGAAACTGTCACCTTTGCCACCAAGCGGAGAGACCTAGAAAAGAAAACCAAAAGGCTACCGAGCATACAAACAACTCGTGTAGGTGAATCGGATCATGGCCACCATAATGGAGTAAAAGTACTGCTTGGTTTAACCCAGCAGCAAGCGACACAGCGAAGACTACTACTACCATTCCTAGCATGTCTAGGCCTACGACATCCATCATGATTTGCCCATTGGCAGTGATTGCTCGATGCAAATGTGTAAATAGCTGACCACCTAGTTATAGGCGGGGCTCATAACCTATTGCGCAGAGGAACGGGAGAATGAAGAGCAAGAGGCAAGAATACTTGCCTTATATCAGAACGGTAGTAGCGTTTGAAAAATTGGTAAGCGTTGAGGGGCTCAGTTGTCGAGTAGACAAGTGAAGAACGAATTGTAGAATTCGATAGGGATTGAGGAAAAAATCCCCAAGTTTATATACATGAGTAGGTACACACAGACCAGTAGCGTAAAAGGAAACTACTACTCAGTATAGTAAAGAATAGTGCAGAAGGTCATGGAATATGACATATAATATGATGTCACTATGACATCATTGTGGAGCTGATTGCTAAGGAATGTCATGTGATGAACAACGTGTTGATACACGTGTAAGTCTGGATCAATCTAGATGTCGGAACTATTACAAATATTTCCAACATAGGTATCTTCAATCACTGACTTAAGATACCTCTTACCGAGGAGGTGGTGCTGCATCTGCGGGTTAATAACAAGACTGAGAAGAGGAGAATACGATAGGTATGGCACAGCAATCTCAGTTACAAAGAGACGCTCACATCCACCAAGCGCCGTAGCGTGGCCATCAAAGTACTCCGATAAACTGGTGACGATTGTATCGGCGTAGAGAAAAACATCCACATTGGCGAACGTCCCCATGGCCTCGTCGATGACGATTAATAAAACTATTATTTATCTGCCAAAGCGCGCAATCGGGGCATGTCGCAGCAGAGTGTTGGATGGGCATTCGACCTACAGCGCTAGTATAGGAGGCGAGGACGAATTTTCCTCGACTTTCCTCGCTAGCAACTTGTCTATGTCATCGATATCAGAGTCTCGGCCATGACCATAGAATATGGCATCTGGGTCGCTTCGCTGGAGCAATTTGAGAGTGTCGGTGCACGAAAAGCTGTACCTATGTGAGATGTTTATTACTGTATCTCCGGTGCATGGTCAGCAGAAAATGGCTTGCCCAGACACAACGCTCTTGTCTGGGGAACGAGCTGCGAGCAATAGCTTTCCAGCAAAGCTAACATTCCAGTCGGGAAAGGAGCCCAGATATGTCCTGAGGTTTGGACTTTGGCTGCCTCATCAGCATCGGGCACGAAGTTCTCTGACAAGAATGCCGGTCTACGGGAACCCTGGAACACTAGGAGAGATAGACAGCGTTCGGCGTACTGAGATGAAATACCTAAGCCACGCATCTGCCAGAACTGTCTCGCTACCATGTATGTATCGGCACGGAAGAACAGGATATAAACTTCAGAGCACTTGTGCAAAAGTACTGACGGAGGTATGGGGACGCTTACTGTTCCGTTCGTTGGTGGGGAACTCGCCGGCTCGATGGGATAGCAGACAACTCTGACTTCCGATGGTTTCCTGGTCAACGAGGCTTGACTGGTTACGAATGAATTCCTTTTCGTACTCTGCAGTTTTGTCTGTGGGACACAACAGACACATTTCGCCGTCAAGTCCAAACTCTTCCTAACAAATTGTTATGAGCTAAGGGGGAGGTCGGTCAGACGTAGTCACTGAATAGCTCGACAGAATCTACCCACATACCTTCTGGACACTACGATGAACAAAGAAACAAGGATAGCCAGTCATTATCGCATTGACAGCAGATGATTCACTCTTCCTGAGTGCGACATCACTCAACTTCGGGTACGACACTGCGATGGCATAAATGGTAAAAGGAAGAGGCAGTCCTAAAGTATGACGGCCAATTGGGATCATTAATGAGTAGGTGGAGCCTTCAAAGTCGGAGAATCGAGTAAACTGGGAATGAATGGGTGAAATGGATGGAACGTTGGAGTGGAGCGAGGAGATGAGGGGAGTGTGATAAACACTCAATCACGCGCCGTATTGGATCCGAAGAAGGGCGACATACTTCAAAGCGCTCCCACAACCAGAAAGAAAGCGGAACAGCATTACTGACACGGGTTTGAACACACGCACCAGCACTTCAGGATGGAATGGACAGATAAGGTGTCCCTGCACACAAGGGTTTAATGTGTCAGAGTTAAACCTGTCACTCAATCGCAACAACATAGCCAGTATAAGTCAATCAAGCAGTGAACTGCATCTCAAGGACCCCTCAAGGGATGCGAGGACATCGAGTTCCCGACAGCGGCAATAAGAGTCCGAAAACTTCCGTATCCCTTGATTCCATCGATGATCATGAATAGGTGGTAATATATTGCCAATGTCAAAGATAGCAGACGGGAAATGGCTAGTTTCCCCCAGACAAACCAAACTAGAGAGAAAATAAGCATCGGGAAAGCGCCTAGCGTCCTCTCGAATATGGATGGAATCGGGAATTTTTTCTATCCCCACCTCTGCCATGCGTAGGTCGCGTAGGAGGCGCCACAGTCGCCTTCGAAGATGTGAAGTCGATCTGCGTCCGTTTTGACTGGGCGGCGGCTGCCTGCTCCGAGCGCGCTTTTTGTTGCTCGGCTTTGAGCGCACAGGTTTCGGTCGTCGTCAAAGTCACCCGTTCGTTGCACGACAAATTGCGTGGGGGAGCCCAGGTTGACCCGGTGATGGATTGCAAGTCCAAACGAGGCAGAACCGGCATGAATATGCATTAGGATGACATCCAAGAAGTCAGTACTTACCAATCTTATCCGCAAACCATTCGGGTTCCACATCGTACGGATCCCATATATGTGACGGAAAGTTTGTTGTTCGCTCGTCTACATCAACGAATTCGACGAGTTTCGCGTAAAGATGAGGATTGCGAAACGAGCGATTGGACATTAAAGAGTCATTAAAGTGCTTAGGATTGACTGGATCGCGTTTCAACGCATGGAATTGTGCTAGTTTTGCCTGAAACGACATATGGAAACCTTGCAAGCCCCGATCAAAGTAAACAACACACTTCAATGGCAGGATCACATGGTGCAGCAGGTTCGGGGGGTATTCCCCAATCTACCAGACCTGGTATTGGGCACGGTCTCAAAAGATCACGGAGTAATGAGACTTCATCAACTTCGGAAGAGGAAGTCGCCTCTGTTTGGATGTCTAGTACATCTTCTGCGGAAGGTGGTGGCGGAGGAGGCAGAGACTCCGTAGGCGTCGAGCTGCCCACGACGTCATCGGATATTCGCGCTCGTGGATGACTTTTCAGATGCGCAGGTCGACGAATGATTACTTGGGACTTAGGTAACAGTCGAGCTTCAACCAAGCCGTCTCAGCAAAGCTGCATCGCGTCGCATGTCAAAACAAAGATGTATAGACGCACCATCTGGCGGGGCAGCAGGGGAGCTTCTCGACGGCTTATCCTATCCCAGGCAGAAAAAAAAACACAGCCAGCAAAGAGGGAAACTATTGTGCCAAGTGCTGGCGAGGAAACTCTTACATTGCTGACAATCCCTTTGGCAATGGTGGATGGAGTCGAGGCAGCGTGCGCTTCCGAATCACTCTGAGAGTCGTCGTCGTATGCAACCAGACCTGGTGTAAATGTAAGAAATGTCTCCACCGTTGTTAGCTCTCGTCGAACTCACCGTGCATGGGGGGGCGAGGAGAGTAGTCTGTTTCAAACTCCGCGGTTGATCTTGTCTTAGTTTGGCAGGTCATGCCGAGCCAGTGCCGACTCGACCAATAAGAGCTAGTTCGGAAACCTCGGGTAAGTCGCAATTAGTTCCTTCAATGCTTGTACATGTGTTTCCACCGGGGCAGTTTGCATAGTGAGTTTGAATTGAGTTTGAAACATTTCCTCCTGTACATGAGATGGACGACATTGATATCGGTGGTGATCATGAGGAGATTCACTGCCAATGCTTGCTGCACCATATTGCTCTTGTTGTCAACATCATCCTCTGCATGATTGGTCATACTGAAGTGCAATCTATGCCAATCTGAAGGATTCTGGAGCCTTACCACACATCAGCACTAACTGGTGAGGAATGGCTTATTGAGCTCCTTGCAGGTCATCCAGGATGAATCCAATGCGAACTTGGTGTTCATGCTGATGTCTTTGCATGACTTGTGGAGGAGCTTTGCCAGATTGGTCATGGCAACTCTCAATTCATTTTGCTTGAAGAACAACTAGCTATTTTCCTCTATATGAGTGTGATGGGTCTGACTATCAGGCACATCAGTGAATGTTTTCAATGGTCAAATGAGACCATATCTTGGTATGTCATCACCCTTAGTTTTCCAATACTTTTCTAACCTCCTTGATCAGGTACTTTTGCAAGATACTCTTCATCCTATTGTCATCACCCTTCTATTCCATGTACATCAAGATGCCTGGTGCTGATGATATTCAGCCAAAGATTAGGGGAGATAAAAGATTTTGGCTGTATTTCAAGGATGTGATTGGTGCATTGGATGGGAGCCATATCCATGCCACTCTGGCATTGGAGGACCAGGCAGCATACCAAAACTGCAAAGGCTCCATATCACAGAACTGCTTGTTTGCTTGCAATTTCCAGCTGATGTTTACATACTCATTGACTGGTTGGGAGGGTTTGGCTACCAATGCACATGTATACCAGGATGCATGTACAAAAGGGCTTGACGTCCCAACAGGAAAGTTTCTCCTTGCAGATGCTGGATTCCCCCTGTGCCCAGAAATTCTAGTCCCATATGGGGCAACTCACTACCACCTCACAGAGTGGCACCAAGCACATTTAAGGTAACTTTCTTTGAATTATCTGTCTTATCATCCTGCTGAACTGACAAGACCCAGGAACAAAGAAGAGTTGTTCAACCTCTGGCACTCATCTGCATGCAACATCATCAAGTGAATATTTGGTGTCCTCAAGCATCATTTTTGCATCTTACTACTAAGCCCTGAGTACAACATCAACATCCAAGGCTGAATCCCCTCAGCACTCTGTGCACTGCACAACTTCATCTGTACTCATGATGCCAAAGAAGGTCCAATGCCAGGACAGGATGTCCATGTAGATGAGCAAGGTGTGGGAGGGCCTGGGGGATCAGCAGATGAGGGTGGAGCCAATGAAGATAATCCCAATGTAGGTCAGCTCGAAGTGGCATGCACTTTCCATGACCAGATCACTCAACATATGTGGGATGATTATCAGGAAATCATTCAATTGCAGGATCTCAGGCAATTGCCCTCAGGTAGTGATGACTATAGCTCTGATGACTCCACTAACACCAGTAGCAGTATGAGTGATATATCAATGTTGTAGACATGTAGTTCATTTGTTCCCATTCCATGCAATATATGTACACTTTCAGATCTCTCATGTGTGATGAAGAAAAAAAAGATAGATTGCAATAAAGAAAAAAAAAGATTGCAATACAATGATAGCAGGTATGGAGGTACAGCAAACATCAATCTACCTATAGTATTTTTTACTGTGTACTGGTCTGAGAACTTCCAACCCTGAGTTTCATCTGATACTCCAGTTCAGCAAGCACCAAACGATCTTCCTTCTTTGCTGTCCTCAAGTATACATCAGCAAAGCTGAGATTCTGTGCAATCAATGATCGGATGAATGCTTTGATGGGACTGGGGAAATCTTGGTCTTGATCATCCAGTAAATGAATCACTTGTGCCCTTGTTGTTGATGCTTTATCAATGGCAGATGTCATTGATGTGTTGATTGATGAAGTGAGGAAGTTGATCAAGCCTTGTAGGCCTACCGTGATAGGGTTTGATATCGCAAGTGAAGGTGGAAGTGGAGGATTGTGAGAATGACAGGAACAGGAGCTTTTTGCATAGTCCAAAGTGGCAGAGAGGTTGGTGCATTTGTTGGAGGCAGGAGCAGTAGCAGAAATGTCACTTGCATTGGTGTATGGGAAAACAGACATGGTAGTCAAAACCTCATCATCACCAAGCATGTCAGTGTGAGACCACTTCCCACTAGATGGTGGAGCACTGGATGGAGGGATAGAAATGTCAGATGGGTTGATGGTAGATGGCAGATTGTTGAAAAATGGGAAATGGTCATCATCCAACCCAGGCAGGACTAGGGGAAGCGCTGGCACAGAATCAGCAGGCACTGAAGTGGATATGGGTTCAATGGGTGTGGGAGTGGAGGAGGGTGCAGATTTGGAAGGCGCTGAAGTGGAAGTGGTTAGTTGAATGGTTGGCACTCCACCATCTCCATTGTCTAGGCTGTTGGTGGTGGCATTGGAACTATCTGGACTAAAGGCATTGGCCCTGTTATGCCCGAGCGCGGTGACTTCTTCAAATAGAATAGGCACGAAGCGCGCGAGGGGGGGGAGTCTATGGGCCGAACTTGTCGTAACCCCTATGGCTGAGTTATAGCGATAATCCGGCAGAGGTTCCTTCTTCTGGCGAGTCCCTAAGGTTGTTCGCACGGAGAGAGAACAAGGATGAAAGCCAAGTGATTAGCTCAGTTGCAAGCTATCGAAAAACTGGAGATACAGGGTAGAGTACGTGGGTTTAAATACCTCTAAGTACGAGTACCCTACCAGTCGCGACGGACGCGTCGCGACGCGTATCCACAGTAGTAAACAGACTAATCACTGAAATAAATATGAGTCACCTGGAGTCAGAGATGGGGATAGACCTGGGGACGAAGGCTATACCGGCTGCGCAATCAATGCGCAGCGAGGAGCCAGACTCCAGAGCTATAGTACAACATACAGGCAATATAAATGAGTCAGAAGTGTCAGCGGAACACCAACAGGACATCGCTACGATCATGAGGGCGGTGAACGTCACGGACGGATCACGAATGATGAGTCTCGACAGGTATTGGAAATACCTGGACAGCGGGTGATCCGAACTCTCCCTGTAGCATCTGCACCCCTAGAACAACCACCACCACGAGCGACGCGACGAGGCACGTGACGCACGTGACCGCGAGGACCGAAAAAGGAAAGGGGCCGAAAAGAGAGCGTAACATCACCCCCCCCCTACGGTCCTCAGACCCTTGAGGACGAAGGTCCGGGCGCGTTGCTGAGGCGGGCGGATAGGGGTTGGCGAGTAGTATAAACGCGGGAGCGCGTTCGACCAGCGATAGGCGATGGTGGCGATGGAGATGGCGGTTCCTCGAGGGCCGGAGTATAACGGGAACCCCGTCCGTTGTGGCAAGACCAATGTCCCAGGTAATGGCATTGGTAGCAGGCATGGGGGTAGAGAGGATGGTCGGTGGGTACCAGGGACTGTCCACCGAGGTAGAACCGAAGTTGATTCGAAGGGACGGGGACGAAGGGAGACGCAGGGAGAGGATCGGAGGCGTGGACGGCATTGAAGTAATTTTTATGGATTCCTGCCCACGACGCATCCTGTAGTAAAACCTCCCAAGCGGAGTTGTGAGTCCCTGTTCCCAAGCGCAAACCGACCTCTTTAAAGAGTTCTCCCGAGTCTACAAACCCTAACTCCACGGCGCGCCACTCCTTCTCCTTCTCCTGATCCGAGAGATCCAGCTTTACTGGTTGCTTTTCGGAGATTGCTTCTTTCGGGATGATCTGATCGAGAATTCGAGAAGTAGGCAGGGCGAGGAAGTCGTTTATTTGCTGGTGGCGCAAATGGTGATAGGCACCTCCCGTGATTGCTTCGGTGATTTCCGCCGAAGCCTTCTCTAGCATTCCGATCATTATTACTTCCGACAAAGGGGCAACCCCTGTAAGCTGCCTGGTCCGGATTTTGGAGATGAGCCCATTGATCACGTCTGATGCTCGGTAGATTTCAGACAACAGCCCAAAATACTTATCTTGTTCTGATGAGCACCCGTCAACGTGGTCCCCGTCATTGAAGAGGTCAAGTGCCCTAACAACGTCCACGTATTCACTTGCTGGGACTGGTAATCTTTGCTCGTCAGACCGGGCAGCGGAGGCGACTGCAGCAAGGATATCAAGGGCCGCCCTGTTGCCTCGGTCAGCGTAGGTTGTAAAGGCGGTGCATAAGTGGGGAGTGTCGGTAGCATCGGCTTTGCTGGTTCCGGCTGTTGCACTATCGGGGTCATTGTCAACCCACGCCTTACCCTTTCCCTTTCGGCTACTGTCCTCTCCAGGGGGGACTCTGACCTTTGGGACCGGGACGCGTTTGACGCTGATCCCCTGTAGTGGACGCGGTCCCGTCTTTCGGGGGACAGAGGGCGATATCGAGCGGGGCTGGGACACGGGCGAGGAGAACCCGGAGACAAAAAAGCCGGCGGGAGAGGTCGGGGGAGAGGTTGGCATATAGACGGAGACTGGGGGAACGAGCCCGTCGTCGTCGGTGTGACAAAAGGATTCTGAGGGAGCGGGGAGGTCGGTGTAGTCATTCTCTGTGTCTACCGAGCGAGGCGAGTCCATTTAGTTCCTGAGGTGTCGAGCGAGTTTGTATTGGTCCAGCACATCTTTTGTGTGCTCTTTTAAATGTTCCTCGGGTTCCCACATATTGGACGAATGCGGGAATCCTTTCCATTTAACCAAATATTTTCTTTTTCCTCGTTGACCATCAATCTTATGATTAAGGACTGACTCGACCTCCCATTTGATCTCATCGTCAACCAACTCCGGTAGGGGGGCTGCGTCCACAGCTCCGTAGGTTTCGTTCTCGACGAACGGGAAGATCCGCGACCCGTGAAACACCGGATGTACCTTCC